TTTCTGATTTGAATCCTAGTTCTGTCATTTACTAGCTGTAGCTATACTCAAATTTTCTCATCAGCAAAATGGGGATGATGAGATTTGGAGTTATTCTGAGATTAGATGAGTTAACACATAAAACACTTAGAACAATGACTGGCACTGTAAGTTTTTAATACATGTCAGTTATAATTAAAATAACAAGATTGTACCAATTTATAACCAATTTATCTTTCCAACAACACACCCATTTCCCTATGCTCTTGTCTGCATTTGGTATTGTCATTCTTATCTGACAGGCAGAAGAAAGGAAGGAAGGGAGGAAGGGAAGAAATCCCATTGTTTTACTTGCATTTCTTTGATTTCTAGTAATGTTGAAAATATTTTCAGTTTCATTAACCATTAGTATTTCTATACTTAATTCTTTTTCTTGAGTGTCACACTTTTATAAAGACCTCTCATTACAAGATTACTAAAATATTTACATTTTCCTGTATTTTTCCCTAGTGTTTGCAAATTTGTTCATTCCTTTTTTCCTTCAAGGGTTTAATCCTTTTAGGATTCATTTTGGGGCATGACTTAAAAGAAAAATCCTGTATAGGTAGTCAGTTGCCGCAATACCATTTCCTCTTTTCATTACTAATTAAAAACTTTGTTTTTATCATATATTGACTTCTTGGTCTTTCTCTAGATATATTATTCATTTGACTGATCTATTCTCTTGCCCATACCATATTATTTTGACTTCTGGTTCAAATAATCCCTCATTATTCAACTTTTCAAAAATTTTCTTAGATATTAATACACATTTATTCTTCCAGATGAAAATGAGAATTAGTTTGCAAAGTTTTCAACAAAACTGCATTGTGAATTTGACTGGAATTGACTTGGGGGAAACTGGCATATTTCAATATTGAAATATCGAGTCTTCCCATTTATTCAAGGATATGAAATATGTCCCATTTCTTCAAAGTGTGTTTCATAAATGTTAGAGTCCTTGTTATAGCTACAGTTAACTAGCCAGTTCTGAAGTATACATTCCCTTTTGAGTTTTAGCAAAAACTATATGAAGACCCTTATTTGTACTAGATAGTTGCTATGGACTGAATATTCGTGTCCCCCCCAAAATCATATGTTGAAGCCCTTACCTCCCAATGTGATACATGGAGATGGGGAGGTGACTAGGGTTAGTTTGGGGTCCTCATCATGGGATTAGCAGCTTTACAAGAAGAGACCCCAGAGAGTTTGCTCTCAATCCATGCTTACACAAAGAGGACATGTGAGCACACAGTAAGAAGGCAGTAGTTTGCAACCCAAGGAAACAGCCTTCATCAGAAACCACACATGCCAATACCCTGATCTTGGACCTCCAGCCTTCAGAACTGTGCGAAAATAATTTTCTGCTGTGTAAGCCACCCAGTCTGTGGAATTTTGTCATAGTACTCTCAGCAGACTAATACAGTAGTATATTTAAAACTTGGTGTGCCCCTGTCCTCTAGGCTCATAAGTTAATTGCAGCCTAAGGAAATAGGGCAATTGAATCCGCTGATGTGGCAATAGAAGGCTACTTTGTGATAAGCACTTATTTTATTGCCTTGCATAAGGATCAATTCTGGAAAAATAAAGTTTCTAAGTTGCCTTTTTCTCTCATTCAAAATGAAAATAGTTGTTAGTGCTAGAGATAAATTGTGTATTTCTAGAAATGCTGGCTTATCCATTTTATTGCACAGAAGAATGCCAGTGAGGAAACTGTCATTGATGTTTAGTGACCACATATTATTATTTGGACATGTTTGAAAGTAGAAACATGGAAGCACCTTTCTAGTCATTCCTTATAGTTGTGGAACACTGTAGAGTTTGCTAAATACATTCACATGAAAAATTTTCTTTTATCCTTAAAATAAAATTCAAATAAAGTATTCCAGTCTCATTTTATGAATGGAGGAGAGTCAGAGAAATGATGTCTATTACAAGGCAGCATAGAACCAGAGCTAGATTTAATTTATTCAACTGAATAAACTTTTTCTGAGACTCATTATCTGTACACTTATGGTTCCCAAGCTAGGCCATTCTGTCCTGTGGTGGCAGGATCTTCTCTGCGCATCTAGCTTCCCAGCTGACTTAGGCCATGCTGTACTCAGTTCAGTAGCTCTTGGTGCCCCAAAGATCCAGCCCAGCACTGGACTGTGAACCTGCAGGCAAATGTGTGGTGCTGCCTCTTCTAAGGTACCCCCTTTCCCTGCCAGTCCCTACAAGGTGGAGCCCTATGGACCAGCCGTTGAAAGGGGCTTCTCTGCACATCCAGGATACTTGCTTGGAAAGCTCTCCTGCTCTCCCTTTCTTCCTTTCTCCCTCCCACCAATTAATCCACTTTGTATGCAGTGAAAGGAAGATTTGAGATTTGATCTTGGGTCCAAAGAGAAGCTAGGCAGGCAACAGGAAACGCAGAGGCCTTGATTCACTCATGTCCTACTTTATCCTGAACCAAACCTTTCACTGGTAGCTCAGTAGCCATTGGTGTTGTAACAATGTCCCACATTCAACATATGACTTGTTCTTGATGAAGCAGAAAGAAGACAAAACATTGGTGAAACAGCAGGAACTTATTACAAGGCAAGAACAATGAAATTAATGCCACATTTAATTGAGGAAAAGGCAAACTGTAATCAAGTTGTGTTTTTGAAAAGACAAGTGACAATAACTTTGTATTGACTGTGTATAAATCAGGAGCAAGATATGCAGTGACTATGTTCTAGAATAAGTTAATTTCCAAAACTTTTGTTTCCAAAATTGTTTAAATCTGTGTGTCTTATAAACTACATAGAAGAGTGTACAACATTAACAATTTAAGGTTTATCTTTGACTTTAAATCAACAGATATTTTTCTTATTCTTATTTTATAATAGTTTTGTTATAACATCTTTAGATTTGTTATGCCTCAAAAGTACTTATAGTGGGCAACCCCTTCAGGTCCTCTCCCACTGTGGGCGCTTTTCTGTCCTCTCAATAAATCCTGCTTTCAAAAAAAAAAAAGTCCTTATAGTAAGGAATGGATCAATGTTATATAGGGAAAAAAAAATGGGTGCTTCCAGCACTATGAAAATATTAAAGGAATTTTACATATTTTCAAGAGAACTGTTCTGGAACCTCTGTAGTACAGAATTACCAAATCAGATGGTATTCCAGTATTTCAAACAGCAAGTGCTCCTAGGAGGATCTTGTGATTAGTGCTATCAGCATTGATCCATCATATTCTCTAAAATATTTTGACCTCAGACCCATAAAATCAAGGGAAAAAATTATAATTTTCTTTTTTTTTTTTTTTTTTTTTTGAGTTGGAGGCTCACTCTGTCACCCAGACTGGAGTACAGTGGTTGCTCCCGGCCACCGCAGCCTCGACCTGCTGGGCTCCGGCGATCCTTCCGCTTCAGCCTTCCAAGTAGCTGGAATTACAGGCATGCACAACCACGCCCAGCTGATTTTTTTGATTTATTGTAGAGATGAGGTCTCGCAGAGTATAATAAGAAACTTTGTGGAATATAGTTGGAGGAATGCAGGACTAGGTGACAGGGAAAGACTGCATTTTAATTTTCACTCTGACATTTTAATCAAATCATTTAATCTTTCCAGGTTTAAATTTCCTTATCTGTAAAAATTGAGATAATAACTCTTATTGGCATCAAGTGAAGAAAGAAATAAAATTATTGAGGAATTAATATATGCCAGGCCCTATAGTTACAGGTGAGGCTCTTAAGGGTTCCTTTAGATCAATGATTGTACCAAATCGAACTTTTAAATCAAATAGTTAATAAAATGCTTTTAAATCCAAATTTCACTCTAAAATAAACTTTTAAAATTTTAATACATTTTTAAGGTTTACTATTACCAAACCTCAAAAGCAGAATAAATCAACAGTTGGAAAACAAAAATACTTTCTATAAATATTTCCTTCCAAATATCTGTTGGTAGATCAATAATAATTCGTAAGAAAAATAATCTGTATGTTTTACATTTTTACAAAATATTGTTCAAAAGGGACACTTAATTAGTTGTAATAAGTTACATAAACATACTAATTAAACAATAAAAACATTCACACATTGTTGTAATTTTCTACTGTCTAAAGACTTTTATAGATACAATATTTTAAAACATTCTGTAGGTAAAACTTCCTCAAATAGAATTTTACTTCAAAATGTTACCCATTAAATTTTTGGGGAAAAGGATTAAATACATTAAACTATGCTAAAAGGACATTTAGTTTTTTCTGAAAACAAAATTTGGTAAAATAAAAAATAATTAATTAAATATTATAGATTAAAAGCTTGAGCTGTTAAAATTAGAAAAATATCTAAGCACCATTATTAAAATGTAAATATCATGAGTTTAATAAATGTTTTAATCATACATTTTTCAATTTAAACACACACATATACATATAAATATTGAGGAGGAATCCATCTCTTCTGGTTACAGATGACAAAAAAAACCTGAAATGATCACAGCCTTTCATTTGACCCTATAGACATATATTTTTTAATCATTTTAGTGTATAGTTAGATTTTATTTTTAGCAGTTTTTTAGAATATCTTATTAGAAAGGTTAGTTTGTTATGAGAAAATAATTTAAAATTACTCTAATGTTGATACTTAAAAGTCTAGTTAGAATACATATGGCATATATATCTTTATAAAAATAAATATCCAAGCTATTCATAGATATTTGGTGTCTTAGACTAGATAGATAAAATATTCTATAACATAATCTGAATTGTAAAAAAAACAGAGAAAATAGCAATCATCAATTCAATGTGTATGAATACCAGACAGCTGAAGAGTTCCTTTTACATTTGACATATGTGCCATATGGGCCAAGTACAAGCCTCTGAAATACATTTTCTACTCCCTAAAAATTTTTAAAATATAAATTTAAAAATGTAATTTTTGCTTAATCATTATTTACTAGGGAGCTTTGTTATTCAGAGCCAAAGATTTTTTGCAATTACATCAAAGATTACTAGTGTTTCATTTTTTGATGTTTAAGTAGTAGTTCTCCTTTGCTTACCTTATAGAGTAAAATATCAGGAAAAGCAATTACTCTTCAGATATACAATAACTATTTATATGTTAAAGAGTTAATAAAATTTTCTAGGTCTGCTAAAGAATTATGAAGTCCATCATTCAAATCTTGACTTCTAAGAAATTTTTTAAGAGTATCTAGGGCAGTTATTGCCTCATTTTTTGATGGTAAAGGGAGTTCATTTCCTAGAGACCCACTGTCATCCTCTTCATCAGATGTATAAAATCCAGTGTCATCTGATTTACTTTCTTTAGTCCATACCGAGTTGCCATTTGATGCTGCTTCACACGTCTCCAAGTCATCATCCAGAGCAGCATACTCTTCTATAGACAAACCTTCTGGAAATTCCACTCCTGCCCCAAGCTCATGGGCAACCAAATCAAGACTGGTGTCCTTGTCTGCATTTGTTATGTCACCCTCTCCCTTTTGCGATTTGAAACCTGCCTCTTCATAGCTTTTAACAATAGTCTCTGAGGTTACAGCCCTCCAGCAAAGATGCAACGTATCAACTGCATCTAGTAGTGAAAATGTAAATTCTTTGCTGCCTTCAACAGAACTTAAAAATTTCATGATAAGACAGTGCCGATACTTGATTTTAAGGCTTTTAATAACACCCTGCTTCATAGCTATACATTTAGAGGATAAAAAGGATGGAAAGAATGCTAACTCAATGGACTTTAGGTTCTTTACCTCTGGATGTGCAGGAAAAGACTCAACAAAAATCACCACTCTTCTCTGCTGGGCTTGAAATTTCTCATCAAGTTTCCACATCCATTGTTCAAAGACATCTGAGGTCATCCATGCCATTCTGTTAGCTTCATAATACACAGGCAGTGATTTTATACCTTTGAAACAACGTGGATTCCTGTTTTTTCCAATGATAAGCAAAGGAAGTTTCTCTGAGCCATCCATGTTTGTGCCAACTACCAGAGTTATTCTGTCTTTGCATAACTTTCCAATTGAGCATGTTTCTCCTTTAAATGCAAATGTATTTGTAGGTAACATTCTATAAAGCAGACCAGTCTCTTTTATATTAAAAACATTTTTGGGATGATAATCATTTAAATAATAAGGAAGTACATTTTGGTACCAGACAGTTGAAGGGTCTACTGATGCACCTGTCGCTTCTACAGGTTGAGCTCTGAATACTAAACCATACCTGGATTTAAAACGATCCAGCCAACCGTTACTGCACTTAAAATCATTATGACCCAGTTTCTGGGCAAAATCGTTAGCTTTCAGTCGCAACATTGGACCATTAACTGGAACATTTAGACACTGAGCAATTCGATACCACCTCATTAATGCCTCTTCCAGATCTGTGTAAAAAGCAGTTCTCAGTCTTTTTCTCTTTGGATCAAATCTTAGCGATTCAAAGGCTTCAAGAACTTTGTCTTTATTCTTCATAATAGAAGACAATGAATTTTTCTTTATTCCATATTCAGCTGCAATCTCTGCTTTTTTCTTGCCACTTTCCACTGCGTTTATGATGTCGATCTTTTCCTCAATGGACAGGCTTTTCTTTTTCTTCACTGTTAAGGGCAGAGCTGAGGCATCCGCAGAAGCTTCTGCCATCTCAACCAGTGCTTATGTAGAGATTTCTCCTCTTGCTTCCTGGTGTCTGTTTCTTGAATTAAGTTTGTTTTCCAGTATGTTACGGACTGCTGCTTTCTATCCAACTTCATATGTTAAAAGTTGGTAAGTGTCTAGTTGTCTTATTCCTCATGAGATTGATGACTAAATGTACTTTTCTAAAGGATCTGAAGAAGAAAAATGTTATATGTAACTAGAATATTTTAGAAGAGAAACTTCCTTTCTAGAACATCGTGTAGTTCTGTTTATGGTTTATTCAGAGTTCTAGGAGTCAAGCTAAAATAGAAATCTCATTATATCAAACCTCTCCAGTCCTGCTGATGTATTTTTGGAACTTCAATCCTTTAAGATGATCCATTTTATCCATGCACACATTCAACCTCCTATTAATTGTCCACAGAAAGTCTCAGAGATAAGAAGAAAAAACTGTTCAGAAATTTTGATGCAAAATGTTACCTATTAATTTCCAAGTCTGTTCATGGTAAAGAAGAAACTGGTAGAATCCTTCTAGAACTTTTATATCTTCTTCTGTCTCTTTAAAATATAAAAAAAGCAGCAATTTTAGCAATATGTCAATTTAGTATCAAAACAATATTTATACCAATTATTATGCTCTTAGTAGAGAAGAGAATGGAAACAGGTTTCTGAAACTATAATAATCCAAATTTCCGATAGAAATGCTTACCTCCTGGAAGGCCTCCCTGCAGAAAGCTTGCTACTTCTCTGCTCTGCGCATGTGAATTCTCACTTGCCTTTGAGTGCTTTATAATATATAGTTCTGAAATAAATCAGACAAATTTAATCTATTTTTAAAATGTGGGCTTACCAAAATTAAAGAACTAAAAATGATGCTGGATAGATGCTTGGTGGCTATTTTTTGCATGAGGTCACAGACTGCACCCTCTAACTTCTCTAAAAGAAAAACATAGTCAGACAGTAGTCACAAGGTTTAACTTTTAATAGCACATGAGAGACAGTGTCTCCTTTAGAGACACTGATAGAAAATGCTTCACTATTAAAGTAAAATCAAGTGATTATTTTTTTTGAAAAACCTAGATCTTGTTTTACCTAAAGGCTTAAAAACCCAGCAACTTTTGTATCAATTTGACATGTTAGCCCAATGTATAGATGCCAGAAATACTTGACAAAATGCATAGGAATAAACAAATTATTAAGAGCATATAATGCAGAAAAAGACTTAGACTAAGACTAGAAAGCTTAGTGATCATGGGTCTTAATCTCTCAGGACCTCTACTTTCTATCTGTACGAAATAACAAAAAATAAAGGTGCCAGACAACCCTAAATTGAGAAGTGACTTTGCTTTGTTGTTGTTACTGTTTTTTTTTGTTGTTGTTGTTGTTTTAGTTGGAGTCTCACTCTGTCACCCATACTGGAGTGCAGTAGCCACTCCCGGCCACTGCAGCCTCGACTTGCTGGGCTCCAGCGAAACTTCTACCTCAGCCTTCCAAGTAGACAGAACTACAGGCGTGCGCTACCACGCCTGGATAATTTTTTTGATTTATTGTAGAGATGAGTTCTCACCAAGTTGCCCAGGCGGGTATCGCACCCGCAGGCTCAGGCAATTCACTCACCTCGGCCACCCAAAGCGCGGGATTACAGGCTGAGCCACCGAGGCCAGCCTGTTGATACTGTTTTTGAGTTGAGGTCTCACACTGTAACCCAGGCTAAAGTGCAGTGGCACAATCACTGCTGACCATAGCCTCAATCTCCTGGGCTCAGGTGATCCTTCTGCCCCAGCCTTCTACATGCCATCATGCCCAGCTTTTTTTTTTTTTTGGTAGAGACGAGGTTTCACTATGTTGTCCAGGCTGGTCTCAAACTCTTGGGCTCAAGCAATCCTCCTGCCTCAGCCTCCCTAAGTGCTGGAATTACAGGCATGAGCCACCATGCCAGGCCTGACTCTACTGCTTAGTATGTATATGATCCTGGGTCACTTACTTAACCACTGGAAGCCTCAGCTTACTTATCTGTAAAATGGGGGTAACTAAAGCACCTACCTCATAGTGTTATTGCACATTCAATGAAAAAATGTAAAGCACTTAGCACAGTATTTAGCACCTTAAGAAAGTGCTCAACAAATGTATGCTGATGACCTTATTATAATTATCATCTCTCTTATGTCCTTTGGCTGGATTAATCTATAATTCAGAAAATTTTATTAAATCCTACTTGTGAATAGAATCCTATTGTAAATATATACTGAACGTATGGCTTTTCTTAAGCCATGAGAACAGCCACACGGCCCCATAGGGGCTCACCTCTACTCTCCCAGTCAGCATCTTTCTTGCCAGAATCTACTGGGTTTTGGGCTGACCAGGCCAAGAGAGTAGCTAATCTGATGTGTGATGTTACCTCTGGGTGTGGGGGTGGGCACTCCATTCTTCTCGCCATGCTTCTAGGTTTCCCAGTTGACACATGCATCTTTTTGCACAAACTTTTTTGACAAATTTTTTTTTTTTGAGTTGGAGTGTCACCCTGTTCCCCAGACTGGAATGCAGTGGCCGCTCCTGGCCACCGCAGCCTCGACCTGCCGGGCTCCGGCGATCCTTCTGTCTCAGCCTTCCAAGTAGCCAGAATTACAGGCGTGCGCTACCATGCCTGGCTAATTTTTTGATTTATTGTAAAAATGAGGTCTCGCCTGCCCAGGCGGGTCTCGAACCCGCAGGCTCAGGCAATCCACTCACCTCAGCCTCCCAAAGGCACGGGATTACAGGCTGAGCCACCAAGCCCGGCTGACAAAATTTTTCTGCCCTTGTGGTCCAAATCAAAGGAGTAATTACAACCAGCAAAGGAGGGGTTTTAAAAAAAAATTATTATAAAAAAAAGTCTTAATAATAATAATAGCGTATGCTTTAGCTTCCAGTTGGCTGTTCTACCTGTGTTCCAAATAACTAAGAAAGAAGGTAAAACTGAATTCCGTGGTCACACAGTTTGAATGTGATTAAGTGCAGTCCAGAATCCAGGCTTTTTAACATCAGGTCTATACTTCACTATATTACACTTATCTTTGAATCACACTAGTGGGACCTCCTGTGACCGCAGTAACACATTCTATGTACCTAGCACCAAGCCAGTATTATCAATGCCTAGCCAAACCAAAAAAAAAAAAAAAAGCAACATCAGGCCTCTAAGGCAGAATAGGCCATTATGAATTCTATGAATACAAATAGCAACTGTATCTAATGGTTAGGGAGGACTAGCCTTTCTAAATAATTCAATTTTCTAAAAAAATCTCCTATATGGGATCTCCCTGTACATTTTCTTGTAATTTCCTGTAAATCTGCAATTATTTCAAAATAAAAATAAAATTCTTGCTCTTATTAGGAAGATATTAACCTTCAGAAATTGAAGTAGCAAGAACCAATTTTTAAAAAAAAGACAAAACCAACCACTACTCTCTAAGAGAAAAAGAGAATCTCCCAATTTTTCCTCCCTCCCTCCTACCTGTTTTGTCAGAAATAAAACCTATTATCTCAGATAACAAGGATTATAGAAAAAGTAAATTGAATTTCCTCTCTCATCCCATCCCAGTTAAAACAATATAATACACATAATCAGAGATTATTCATTATCTTGAGAAAATGGAAAACAATGGTAGCTTTATTTAGGAAGATATTAAATTTTCTTCCTGAATTAACGGTATATATTTCCTTTGGAAACACCAGGCAAAGCTATAGCTTTCCATGGTGAGATACAATATATCTTTATTCCTAAATCAATCATATTTCTTAGGTCTAACCACACAAGCTGGACATTTCCCTAGAAAAGGGCCAGATCAATAAAGCTGACATTCTCCAATCTCCCACCATATAATATCTAGGAAAAATATTTATAAGGAGTGATAGCAGCAGCTAATATTCCTCAGAAGTGGGCATCCTCTCAATTAAGCTCATTAATCATTCTCCCTCTTAGAAATATTATAGCAGAGACATGCAGTACTACATGTTAGGGAATATTTTCTCTATGTCAATAGTAAAGCTAAGCAAAAATATGAATAGGCACTTCACCAAAAAAGGTTTACCAATGAACTCCAAATAATGCTTAAACCTAGTACTAATAAGAGAAATAAAAATCTTTTTAAAAATAAAATATCAACCGGGCTCGGTGGCTCAGCCTGTAATCCCATGCCTCTGGGGGGCTGAGGTGAGTGGATTGCCTGAGCCTGTGGGTTCGAGACCCGCCTGGGCAGCGAGACCTCACCTCTACAATAAATCCAAAAATCAGTCGGGCATGGTAGCGCATGCCTGTAATCCCGGCTACTCGGAAGGCTGAGGCGGAAGGATCACCGGAGCCCAGCAGGTCGAGGCTCCCGGCCACTGCACTCCAGTCCGGGTGACAGAGTGAGACTCCAACTCAAAAAAAAAAGAAAATATCTTTTTGCTTTCTGTTTTTGCCTATCAGTCTGGCAATATCTAGTGTTTGCCAAGGTGACATAACATAGGTTGTTAGGAAGCACATACATTGGTACAATAAGCTTATGGAGTGAAAATTAGCCTTTAAAAATGTGCATAACCTTTTATCCATCAAGTCCATATCAAGGATTCTATCCCAAAAGAATAATTACAGATGTAAAAATAATTTCTTACAAATATATTTTCTATTGCTACGTAACAAATTACCATACAGTCAATGGCTTAAGACAACACCCATTTATTATCTAATTGTTCTGTAGATCAGATGTCCCGGTGGGCTCAACTGTATTCTGATTATGGCCTCACAAGGCAGAAATCAAGATGTCAGTCAGAGGCTGCACTCTTATCAGAGGTTCCAGAGTTTGCCTCCAAGCTCAATCAAGTTGTTTGCAGAATTCTGTTCTTTGCTATTGTGGGACTGAGGTCCCTAGTCTTTTGGTTGGCTGTTGGCAGGGACTACTCTCAGCTCCTAGAGGCCTCTCTCAGGTCATTGTAGCTCTCTTCATTTCAGCAGCAGAGAACATTCCTCCTGAAGAACCTTTTTCACACTTTGAATCTCTCTGACTTCTACTGCCACCAGCAGGAGAAAACTCTCTGCTCCAAAAGGGCTCACATAATTAGGTTAGGCCCACTCTGATTATCAACTATTTGATGAACACAAAGTCAAATGATGAGTAACCTTAATTACACCTGCAAAATCCCCTTGCAAGTAACATAATTATGTAAGTAATGCCCCATCATGTTTATACAAAGTGAGGGTCATTGGAGGTCATCTTAGAATTCTACCTACTACACAAGAATCTGTCTCTCATGGTTATATAATTACAGATAAAACTAGAAATAACTGCAACAAAAAGAATTAGATAAATTAAGAATATCTATATGCTTAGATTCTGAGTCACTAAAAAAGACTATTTAATAATATGAAAAATTCTATGATATAGATGTTAAGTAAAAAAAGCAAAATGCAAAACTATATGCCAACATATACTAAATATTACATGAGAGCAGAGGCTCATGGTTATACCTACAGAGCTGCCAGCAAATAATGGGTTCTCAATAATAATTTGTTAAATAAATGAAGACATATATATCTACATAGATATGAAGGGGAAAAAAAAAAGACATTGACCAAAATGTTGTATGCTCCCTCCAGGTAACTGATTATGAATAAGTTCAGTTTTTTTCTCTTTTTAATTGAAAACATTTTTACGACTCTAATGTTCTACTTTTGCATCAGGTTATTTAAAAAATTAATATCAGAAAACATAAAGCTGACATTCTTCCCACTCAGAATTTCTAGCGTAATATGTTACTCTACTTTTACCAGTAGTTTTTTGCCTGTACAAAGAGTCAACCACTCTGCAAACATAAGAAAGCACTCACTGTCTTCTACAAATAGACAGCAACTATGTCCACTTAATCCTGCTTGCACCGTTACCCTAAGTAGCAGGAGTTACTGATATTCTGCAACTTGCCTAGTGTGCAGCAGAAAACAGATTTCTATAACTCAACCAGAATTAGTCAGTTTCCTGGTGTTATGAGCACACCAAATGAGTCCAAAGTTCAGCTTCCCCCAAAAGGATCTTATTTATCACGGGAAACAGTCATGCAGAGTCAGTAGTATAAAGAAGACTAAAACGAGGGCTCAAATCAATGGCTATGGGATCAAAAGGAAGGGAAGAATGACTTCTCACAGGGAGGATAAAGAATGGGTTTATAACAGAAGTAGCACCTGAACTCAGCCATAAAGGATGGATAGGTCCGTGACAGGTAAGGAGAAATGGGAAAACATTTCTGTAGATAACAGAGAGTAGGGCAACTTCCTCAGGTCCCCTCCCACTGTGGGAGCTTTTCTGTCCTTTCGATACGTTCTGCTTTCTAAAAACAAAAACAAAAAAAAACAGAGTAAAGCATGGAAGAGGGAACTGACAGGGCAGTTTAAAGCACATTAAACAGCTCTAGGTAATGAAAGCTTCATATCTACATTGATATAGATCTATATTGATATCTATATCTCTATCTACTAGCCAAATGAGCATCCTTCCTCCAGATATCTAAAAGAGAGTACTCACTTAGTTGACTATGGCTATATGCCGTACACACTGGAATGCAAGACTGGGGCCAGATCTTGGTAATCCTTTAGTGCCAGGATAAAGTATTAGACTGCATTCGGTATGCAACAAATGCCATTCAAGGTTTTCACTGGAAGAGTGATGGGATCACATGAGGAGCTTTCCCCAGTTATCACAGTAAATGCATAAGAGACCTCTCTGCTTTTAGAAAGAAGTAATACTCAGAGCCTTAATATCACTAAGTTCAACAAGTGTACAAGTATAGTCTATACATAAGAGAATGAAGTTGTACATGTACAACTTATTTTAAATATAAGAAGTCCTAGTAACTCAAAACACCTTCACTTTGTAACCTTCCTAATTGGGGGTTTCTTCAAATGTTTCATTATTCAACATCCTCTAATAAAGGGTTTGCTTTCAGAGGATTACACGGTGTGATCAGTAATCTAAATATCTCTTCATGAAAAGATGTGATCAAATTTTTGAGACATCACTGGAATGCCCTTACAAAGATCTGAATGTAGCACCTTCGTCTTTCTCTTGAGAAAATAAGCGATAAGCTGTACACAATATTCAACATCTAACTCAGTGATAAAAAGTCACATGCACATTTGATTCATTCAGAAAAAAAAAAAATAATATCCTTTAACCTGTTGCCTTCTTTCCATTCTGGTCACTTAATAAAAGATAGGCTACTAGAATTCCCCAGAAGTCCAGTGAATAAATAGCACCTAATTTAGCAAAAGCTGAATAAATAACCAATCACAATGCAAAGATAAATGAGTAGATAATCTCCATGTCATAAATATATATGGCAGACAGCTCTTCCCTTTTTTCTTATCTCTCCAAACATAAATGCCAAGTGAGAGGAAAGTAGTCATCTATTCTTCTCAAACAAAATGAGCAGGGAGAGCTCCCCAAGCTCTAGACCAAAGGAAGGACAGAAGGGAGGGAGGGAAAAAGGAAAGAAAGGAAAAGAAAGGGAAAAAAGGAGGAAAAAAGGAAGAAAGGAAAGAAGAAGAAAGGGAGGAAGGGGGAGAGGGGGGGGGAGAG